AAAATTTTATTTTAACAACATTTATAGGTACAACTCTAGAAAACTCATACACAGAACTAGTGGGAGAGAATCAATCCTCAGTAGTTCTGTGAAGAAAACTACTGCCTTGCTTGCCTATTAACAGAATAAATGGGAATTAAAACAGCACCAGTAATTCTGTCAACAAAACTGTATGACAGTACTAAATGCAATAATAGGAATATTCGAAGCGTAGCGGGAGAAGGTTTCTTAATCCACTATTTCCGAATAGTATTAGTCGGCTGTCCTTCAATCGATATGGTTCTTTTTCTTTTTTGCAAATTATTACTGATAACAGTAACAATATTTCTTGAGATCTGGATACTCATCTTTTATACAGTCAGGTTCATGGGCGTAACTGAAAAGATAATAGAACACATTACATTATTATTCAGAGCCGGATTTACCATTAGGTCCGGTGCCCAATGGCGGGAAGGCATAGCAAGGGATCTTTTGGCATTCCTACATTCAGGTCCACACTGACGCCAATTATGCCGCAGTATCCTTAGGTATGCTGAAGCTTACCGTTGAGACATCGTCAACCTAGCCTCTTTCCAGATTTGGTTTGTTACCAATTTTATATTTAATAATCTCAGTGCAGAGTACTAAAAAACCGACATCAAAAGTTTGTGGAATTATATATCTATTTGCCACGTTTTATTGAAATCGGTTAAAATAGATGTATGATTCTATATTCCAAGAAGATGATATTGGGTGAATAACCTTGGGAAGACTGCTGAAGCATCCCAAAGCTGTCGGCTAGGTATACCAAAACTTAGCGTAGGTTTGTTTTTATACCTAATCTGTTATTATATTATCAAGGTATGAGGACGCTTTGGTAAGTCCGTGACTTTATGAAGAAAAAAGTTTTTTTTTAAATTATGGTTATTTTTTCTACGTAATCTCCTTTTCATTCTATACACCTCGACTAGCTATATGCCAACTTCTTCAACCTATTAAAAAATATTTTTATCAAACTGAACAATATGCTATCTCTTCTTTTCTTCTTTTTCATATACAAATCGGTAAAAAAATCATACAAAAAGTCAAATGGGTGGCCCCATTCTGTTCAATACGGGGGTGTGGCGATAGTTTGTATCATAATTCGTCAAGTTTTGATGTTCTGATTGCAGATGAGAAACGGAAATCTCGAAATTTTGATTTCTCCATTTTCAAAAAATATCACCACCTCTCTTATGTTTTTTATTTTCGCGCTTATTGGAAAAAAGTAACGTCAGTTGCTCAGTAAGGATTTCTAAATTAGGAAGTAATATTAAATTCCTAAAAAGCTTTTATTTATCCTTAACGATACGTGTTTGTCAAACGACTCTCGTAAATTAGGTGTACTATTTGCATCGAGTATATAACCAGAAATATTTCCATCCATCCATCCCTGACAACTCATCGGGCAAATAGGCCTTATATCACTTTTAAATATCAACTCTCGTTTGCACTGAAATATAGACAGCGCCAACAACTGAACTGTGTGTACGTCTCCGTATATAAAAATATTCTGTATTTATTGTAATAAAGAATGGCGTGCTGTTCCATTCGGTGGTGTGGGGACAGCAAAACATCTAATTACAAAACAAACGGAATCAGATTTCATCGGTAATAAAATATTAAATATGTAATTTTGCAATTATCGTCCATTATAGCACTTAAACTGGTCAATTTGAAGTGAAACAATTGACGACACCCATTTACGACACCCGTCAATTCTTTCGAATTCGGGCTGGCCAATCGGAGCGCAGTTGTCAACTCACAATAATGATTTGGCAGAATAGTTTTCAAACAAATTAAATGACATTTCGTGTCTATTTCTGGTTATATACTCGATGATGGCTATTTTTATGCAGCGGCTAATTTGAAGATACGTGTAAGTTTTCGGACTGAATAAGAAAATAATACTATAAATGGTCAGAAATGAATTTCTTGTTTCTCAAAATATTCTCCGTTAGCGTTAATGAACTTTTTCATACGAATGAACCAACTTTGAAAACATTTATTCCACTCCTCCGTGACAATCTCAGTAACATATTTTCCATACTTTTCGACAGCCTCTTCAGGTGATGAAAATCGCTGACCGCGTAACTGGTTCTTAATTTTGGTAATAAATAAAAATCACAAGGTGCCAGGTCGGGACTGTACGCGGGATGGCTCATAAGGTCAACTTTGTTCACCTTCAAAAATTCCTTTGTCTGTCTAGCCGTGTGAGAACTGGCATTATCGTGGTGCAAGATGATACGGCAGTTACGGTTATTTATACGGAGTTTGTCAATAACTTCCGGCAAACAAATGGTCGTGTACCAATCACTATTAACGTTATAATGATTCTCCAAAGCAACAGTAGCCACGTGTCCAGTTTTATAAAAAAAAAGCAATCATCCGAGGCACTTTGCACGCGCGCTACTTTGGTTGGTTTCGGCTCATCTCGAAAGACCCATACGCTCGATTGCTGCTTTGTTTTGGGATCGTAACGATAAATCCATATTTCGTCACCTGTTACTATATCCCTCACCAAATTTGACGCCTCTTCGTTGAATCTGGTAAGCATGGCATTGCACCAAGTGACGCGATCCGTGTTTTGAGCCTCAGTAAAATTATGTGGGATCCACCGAGAGCACAGCATTTTCACACCCAAATGTTTGTGTAGTATTGATTGTATTTGACTCATGCCTATGCCTAAAGATGCCCGAATCTCATGGCATGTCACATGCCTGTCTGTTTTGATTATACGGCGCACAGCATCGATGTTTTTGTTGTTCACAGCAGTGGACGGGCGACCATCACGGAATTCGTCACTGAGATTCACACGACCGCGTTTGAAATTTGCAAACCAGCTATAAATAGTCGTCTTGCATGGTGCGTTATCGCCAAAAGCAGTTTAAAGTCGAGCAAAGCTCCTCTGAGCTGTTAAATTACACTTAAAGTCGTAGAAAATCATACTGCGAAAATTTTAACGAGTTAAATCCATGGTGATGTAGACAACCAATTTCTAAAATGACGTCACAATGTAAAAGTGACAGTCAGATGAAACAAACTGTATTCTACAGCCAAAGGGTTCCGTTTTCAAATGTTGTTATTACTTTTTAAATATTATGTAAGTAGCCAGTTCCGGAAACTTATAGTGCGCCCTATGTGTATAGCATAAAGGCGCGCTTATGAGCCGCGTCAATTGCATGGAATCCCACGCAGTCTTTTTGCCTGCTGGTGACTCACGCGGGCAAAAAAAAAATATACATACGCGTTAGTTCTTGATATTTCTTTACTGTTGACGACGAATGTATCTAAGTTTTTTAAATATTTCACTGTGCCCTCGTATAAACCTTTTGCGGGTGCCACTTCGATCTGGAAAGAACATTAAGAAGCTGGAGCAGGGTTTCTCAACCTTTTTCTCATCATGGACCCTTCTAAAAATTTCAAAGTGCCCACGGACCCTTTCCAAAAAAAATATTTATTGCGATTAAACTTTATAATATGAATTGCTGGTGTTACGGCTGCTGCTGCATATGCTGAATTTGAACCACGATTAGAACGTCAAAGGCGTAAGGCACTGAAGGTGGTTTCCACCGGCGATGGCGAGGCGAGGCGACACGAGACGAGGATTGAAATTTGTATGACAAAATTGCAATTCTCTGGTGGATATGGTCTGGATTGGAGGATGGGCGTCGCGAGAATAGAAATATTTGTTGATGTAATGTTGAACCGTATTACTGCCTACATAGAGTATTATAATTTGCAACGAAAACAAGATTTCTCGTGCGAGCTCGCGCGATTTTGCGAGTGTCTACACGGTCTCGGAGCTTGCGATAGCTATTAATATCAATCGCGAGATTGTGGGATACGTACCATTTGCGATTTAAAAAGACGGTTTCATCTGATTCCTCTTGCGTTAAGATGTTTAAAAATAATAATATATGAATGTCACTTCAGCCACGAATTTATCGCTAGATGAACTGAATAGCACAGAATCTTCACTGTCCACAGTCACAGCGCGAGCTCGCGCGGGATCGCCATGCCTCGCGCGAGCACGTGATGGCTCGTGCGAGTGATAATGGCAATTTTTAATGGAAATAGGCCGACGAGATTTCTATTCTCGTCTCACCTCGCCTCGTCACGCCTCGCTGGTGGCGTGAAAACTACCATTACGCGTGTTTCGCTCGCTCCAATAATGGATAGCCGACAAAATCACAAGCACAGTTCCTTATTTATTCACAACATTTTGTATACTATTATAGTACGAAAGACCCTTGATCGAGAATCATATCTAAATTACACACGTAGGCACCGAAAAATAGCAAAAAGACCGAAAGACCGTCGATGGCGCGTAAAAAACAGATCCATCTGACATCTATTTGACAGACGTGAGTCTATGGTCAAAGGAGGCGCGCTCTAATACTAATTTTTATATTAATGCATCTTAAGGTTCCATGGACCACAGGTTAAGAAACCCTGAGCTATAGGCTATAGGTATTATTGGCAAAAGGAAGAACAGAAACATAAAAATTTAGTAGCAGTAAAAAACATATTGCCAGACCCTATACGTGCACCCTGTCGAGCAATTACACTAAAAAAGCATACAGTGACTTGCGTGTCCAATTCAACAACGCCTACGTTGACTACTAGGGCTGACTCGACACTGTAGTGCCTCAGGGATTTTCACGGAAGCTAGAATTGATAGTTTTCAGTCAGTCGTTCGCAAGAGAATGGCATTCCTGTTGGTCAGAGTGAGGGGCAACACCAACAGTCTTCTTAAGGTGTTAACAGAGTAGACGGACAGCCCAATCCTTAAGTATTGGATTATATATTCCATCCTTATTCATGAAAATGAACACTTTGCTGTCTACTAACATAGTTGTAAGCTTAGAATAATAACGCTTCTATAGTTTCTTATCAAACGAACTGTCACAAGTGAGGCAAAAATCAAATTCATGTAGGCTAGTTTTAGTAGTGAGTTAATTTTCGGTTTTAGTGAATATTTATATAAAAATACAAGTTGAAACGCGTTACTTCCTTGTGGAATGTGATGTTAGTATCTATTTTATGTTTGTCTAACGTATTTTTACACTAATTTACCGCACATTTCGTAATTTTTAGCTAAAATTCTGGAGCTGTTCGTGGTGCAAGATGACCTTGAGCACTGAAGGCCCGCGCGCTCGTGTAGGCCCTTTGGGAGCGCTTCAATTTGCCTCACTTAGCGTGGGTGGGCTAGGTTTCTATGCGTTATTATTGTAAGGTTGTAAGTACCTACTAACACCATATAGACTTGTAACTGTCTGAAATAAAATTGTTTCATTTCAAAGCTTCTTGTGAAAGAGTTCATCCAGGGAAGTACTGCCACCTTATCTATTTCTGCTGCCAAGCAGTAATGTGACCATTACTGCGTTTCGGTTTTGAATGATAAGCGTGTTTGTGAAATTACAGGCACATAGGATTTGTTAACTTATGCCTCAGGGTGACGGGCGCAGTGGCAGTACCCCTCAGATCTTTGCGTTTTTAAGCTTAAGTGAAATGTATTAATTTAAGGCCACCTATTGCACATTAACTTACTATTTTGTACTTAAGACACTTTGTTTTGTGTTGTCATTGTAATTTTATATGCAATAAAGAATATTTCATTCATTCATCCATATAATTTTACTTACAAATTATTTATTTAGTTATTTGTTATTTAGTTAAGCACTTTACTCCATTAGCCAACCAAAAGTACACACATCAAAAGTGTCTAGGGATCAAGCATGTTTTTGCCAATCACTGAACATCAGGTTTTTACATTTTTTTTGTACCGATAGACATTTTTTGATCCATTTCATAATTTGAATTGGAAAATTGACAAAAAAATCCAATCGATGTAAAAAAAACATTAAAAAAATTATTAAACAAAATTTTTAAAAAACCTGAGTTTCAATAGTTACCAAAAATGTGCTTGATTCGTAGACATTTTTGATGTATGTATTAACCAGAAATAAATTCTCTACATCAACCATTGACATCTGCAAATCGCTATACAATAAAACTGTGCATAAAGTAGGAAGCAAACCGTTAATTCTGAAATAGAGAAAAAAACCCTATTCACTTCACATAATCATAAAGTTAGTCATATAATTCACACATTTGGTGTAATAAGGTCACATCTGCAAAATAACAACTTTCCACGAGAGAGGCTTAAAGATTCTATGATCCAAATTAGACGGTAACCTTTTTATGCGTAAATAGGAGAGTTATTAAAATCTCACATGTAATGTAATTTGTTTGATAATGATAAAACTGATGATGACAAAACTTTCATAGATTTCTCATAGATGGCGCTACGACTAAAAAGTCATTGAAAAATCAAATACAAAGATGCAACGCAAGCACATAGAAGAATTCATTTTGAGATCAAGAATTGAGGTCCGCTGGTTCGTTCCGTGGCTTTGTTTGTTTAGCGTCTGGCACAGTTAGCTAGAAGACGTCGGTTCGAATTCGGCCGGATCGAAGGAATTTTTTCGAGTGTTCGATCTTTGTATTAATAATTATAACAAACTAATTTTTATTAAATATCGCGGCATAGTAAAATATCTAAATGTCAAAATTCTACAAATTCTTGTGGAACTGTTGAACTGCGAGATAAAACACCATAATATGCTTTAATTTTCTCGTTATTTTCGAGTGTAAATGAAGAAAAACCTGTGAACTACAATGATGTAAAATGTCCTTGGAAAAAATTTATTCATATTTTTATCTATTTCCAGGAATTCTGTTGTCAAACCAATTTAACACTCGCACTACAGCCGTATAAGCACAGGATACAAAGAACTTGAAACTTTTAATATTACACTCACCCGAACTTGATAAAGTTCCCAATTAACTTCTGGTGGATTATAAAAGTCCGGGAAGTGTCTATTCGATGTTTGCATGGATAACAAACCTTTATTAACAATGTGCTTGTACACCCATTCAATTGAAGTCAGACTCCTTACAGCGCAGAGGTATCTGTAAACATAAGTTTCCAGGCGTTCTAAAGAGCTTGGCACAAATGCGAGCATCAAATGGGACTTGTTTAAATACTACTTGAACAGTGTATGAAATAAGGCAAATATTTTAGGTTCACTCTCCTCCGTCGGTTCCTCACTGCTGAGGTCGTTACTTTCAGCAAGTACACCGTCAATCAATCTCTTCCACTGCACTCTGTCTTTGGCTAATTGGAATGCGATCCTCACTGGTACTGCCAGATTTCATCCACCTGGTCGTTTCGAACTTTGACCTCTAAGTCGTTTGCCCTCAATCCTGCCCGTAACAATCACGCTCTCGCGACTATCAGCGCTTTAGGTTCACTAATAATTTTAAAATACCTAAATTCCGAAGTCAATTTGTTAATATGATGGACCAAAGCATTCGCAACACGGTGATATATAGGATTGCTCTTTGACACAATGTCCCACTTGAAACACGAACAAAAGTGTGATTCTATACCAGCTTCACTGCAGGTCCTGTTGCGTGGTATCTGTTGAAAGTTTATTTTTTGTAATAAGCGTATTGGTTCAGGGCGAATCAGTTGGTTGTGGGGAATAATAGAAGAGAACCAACTCACAGGTCTGAATATCGACACAGATCGGGGAACGTCCGCACCTTTTACTGTGTACTTGTTCCAATGCTGAGTCAAATCCATTGCGTCTAACATCGTGGCATATAAATCAAATGGTGTCGTCAGAACGTCAGCATTTGCTTTCAATATTGATTGCACCTCCGGTCGTTTCTTTTTGAGCTGTTCTGGCAGTACTATAGCCATTAGAGGTAAACGTTCTTCGAGCCTGCCTTGATAAGTGCCGCGCATTTCAAGAAACCTTAAATAATTCATGGATCAGGGGTCTAGTCCCGTTCTTCGTCTGACATCCGTCCGTAAGTAATACTCGACCAATTAAATGAAGCTTCATACTTCGACCAAATCAAAAGGCAATGTCTGTCTTTTGATTTGATCGAGTATTATTTATTTGACAGGAATTGTTTGGAACGGAATATCAAAAGAGAACGAGAATAGATCCATAGTACTGGGTAAAGCATAGTTCCTTCGATAATAAAGCTGGATGTACCTTGGTCCATGGTCTGACATAAGAATAAGTAATTTGTCTTTCGTATGACCTTCTTCCTTGAAGACGCGTAAAAAGTGGAGTAAATCATCATCTACCACAGAGATCAAGTTAAAATCTGAGTGAGATATGTCTACCATGAAATTTAAGCCGAATTTCTTGCCGTCCAGCTTTAGAAACTGTAATTAAAATATCGTTTATGATACCTACCTATGCAAAATCTTTAAAAATTCTAAACGATAAATTAACGCATTCAAATTCAACAAAAATGAACTAGATGGACTAAATGTCTACCGGCATGAGGTCCACAATGCTGGAGATCGGAGGATGGCAGCTTTTGATCCTCCTATCATTGTCTTATGATAACCGATTTAAGACTACTATAAGGGATGAGAGCCCATCACGATTTTGAAGAATTGTGAAGTGATCATATGAAGTGAAGGAACATACAAGTTATGTGCCTGGTACTAACGGACATGCCTAACCATAACCATGGACCAGTGACTCAAGAGAACTGCTAATGGCGATACAAGACAGCGTACTCGGGTATTTAGTACCTATTACACCAGAACTCGCGATGAGTATCAAATAGCTATTTTTGTAATTAATTTGTTTTACATTGACAAGCTGCAATTTATCAAAGCTACTTTAATATCTATTGATAACATATTCACCGATATCAATAGACTCTTTGTCCTGGAGAAACTTGCGGTTAGGGCAATTTGCAATCTGGGCCCCAGAGTATCTTTAATAGATAAGTTTACACCAGCGTCACAGTACATTTATGAGAATGTAATTTATGTTAAGATGAATAGTAATTTCTTTACGAAAAATAGTGACAGACATAACATTAATACGAGGAATAAAAATAAACTAGCTGTTCTTGATAGTCGACTTCACAAAGTGACAAATTCATTTAAGGGGCAATGTGTACGCTTCTATAACAAGATTCCGGTTGATATACAAAATTGCCATTCACGAGGCATATAACTATAGTGAAACAAAAACTTTATACTACTTAAAGGTTATTATACAACTTCTGCGCACTTGGATGACAATTAATCGTGGTAGTAACCTGTTTAGCTCATGAAGGTAGTCTCGATCCTGATGTTTGAAAACAAAAAGGATATATTGTATAAAGAGCAACCCCTAGAGCTTCTAGCTTATTCTTCTCAAGGGAATCTGCTTTACGAATGAGCGGTAGAGTTTAACCAATGTGACGATTTCAAGTGTAATTATGCTTCCTATGAAATAAAGATCAGTTTGATTTTGATTTTGAAACAAATCAACTAAATGGCGCTTATGGATAGTGCCGGCTATTCTTATTTTGTTTAGAATCAGCGCCATCTACTCATATATACACTAATGATTTATAGGACATGACATGCTTATAATCTATATATCTAAATAATATTACAAGGAAAAATCTGACTTTTTATATTCCGTATTAACCCATTTGCGCCCGCCGTGCCCAATCGAGGACACTACTTTGAGTACCCGTAATTTTTTTATATTACTATTAATACTCATTACAAAAGTGTATATGTAAAGTAAAATAGTGGATCTTAATTTTATTATTTAAAAAAATTGTTTAGAATTAAATAAAAGTGGTTTGACTGTTCCTTTTGTGGGGTTAACTTACGCACACGTGAAACGCTAAAGTTAGTTGTTTTTCCTGTATGTTATTACCAACAATTTATTTCTTTTTTTACATATATTATTGAAATGTATTCGTATACTATAAAATAAAAATTATATAATTGAGTTAAATAGTGTTTTGACAACTTCAGACGGTGGTATATAACGGTGTCCCCAATTGGGGCCATTGGGCGCTTATGGGGTAGTTTATTAGTTTTTCATCTATAAGTAATTTTCAACGAAATAATGACACAACAGGTATTTGGCAGCCACAATTATTACTATGGGCTTCAGAAAGCTATTGAAGCTGTAATGGATGAGAGAGACCATGATGTGGAGATAGATTTAGGGGGCATTTCCCCTGGAACTGAGGGCGCTCACCAATGTAGAAGTACTATTCTTATGTAACAAGATCTAATAATCTACGGCAAACTGGTTATCGAACAACTGAAACTGTCTGCAAAGGAAAAACTAAGAAATATCTACTTGACCAGATTTGTAATACACATGTAGAGTAAAACCGTGCCAATTTTGACTATCGATTTTACCCAATCAACCAAATTCTGTTTTTTCCATGGCTTGACAATAGTATTTGCACGATGAGCTCTGATTATGATAATGTCCTTTCTCTGGTGAAAGTAAAAAGATAAAGCACTGTGAATAAACAGAAAGCTGACGTGGGTATCCTGCGTGATTTCAAACGTACCAGCAGGATAAATCAAGCTGACCAATCTTTTTGTATCGCACTGCCATTCGAGGCAAAAACTGGTGGTGTGTTTTGTTCCACTACAAGCTGCACCTAGCACTAGCTGATACATGGCGTTTACACCTCCTGACCAATAATACGAAGCTAGATCAGCTACATCAGTTAAACGGTTACATCACGTCACTATTGGAGAAACAAATACTCAAAGTTTACATCCAGCAGCTTCTTTGGTGCTAAATCTACAGAACATTGGTGTTGATCACTACGCTTAGAAGTTGGCTTAACAGTTACGATGTGCAAAAATAGCTGTTGAGCCACAAATAAGTGCGTTGGCAATATAAAAAATGCGTCAAGTCTTTGTGCACCGACAAATATTGTTACAAATTTTTTGACACCGCTTGAGCCCATTGTCCCCATTTGAGGACGGCATTTTTTTTCATACAAAATAAAATAAAATCTTTTTTTTCTTCATAATTTTCTCATAACTAGGCTATTTTGTAAAGGTTCATAAAAAAATTTTACTATTTTTAACGCTAATTTGTATTTGGGCGTTAATTTAAGGAGAAATTTGTTGATATGCATGACCATTTACAATATAAACTACTTCCTGTAGAGCGATTCACCTAATCAAACCGTTAGGATATCCTAGCGATTTAGTCGTTTAACTGCTTTTTCAACGGCTTTTCTATATGAATCGAACTTAAATCTATTCTAAACGACACGTATTCATATAAAATTTTTAACAGTTCTTTCAATAGTCTTTCGGCGACTAAACGTCAAATTTCACAATCCAAGATGTCGTTCATTAATCGTTATGTTTCGATTCTATTCATATCAATATCGTTCGTTCAAGTGATACGTGAACACTAATTTTGGATTGGACTTCGATCGAACAACTACGTAACTACAATGATATTTTGATAGCTTAAACTTACGTGAGCCACACTACTGAGCTACGATCTGTACCTACTATAGAGATCAACAGTCCTCTTGAGTTATTGATCTATACCATAACAGTCGCATTAGCATTCAGAATTTTATTCGCAAAGATCTGACGAGCACTGAAGTTGCGCCCGTCACCTTGAAATGTAAAGTTGACAAGTCCCATATGCCTTGAATTTCACCAGCATCCTTAACCTTCAAGCCGTAATGCAGTAATGACATTACTGCATGGTGGCAGGTTTGGAATGGGAGCAGTACTTCTCTATACAAACCCTTTTGCAAGAAGCTCTACTGCTACTAAATTTAAAAATACTAGCTAATTCAAAACCTGGTGTGTAAGGTTAAGCATCATCTTGTATTGTGGAGTATCTCCAACGCAATAATCTCGATTGTCTATGGCTGAATTCTCAACACAGAACGGTCTCAAGTAATGATCCGCAGGTCTTGTCATGAACCCTTTCACTAAATAAAGGAATGTATTTACTTTTGGTGAGTCTTCGAAATATAGAGTACGGTATCTGAAATAATGCAATTGATGGGAATGGAACTGGTCCACAGTCGACACACCAGTGATGTGATTTTCTTGCGAACGTTCGCATTAAAGTCGTCCACGCGTGTTTCTACGAATATCCATGAGACGCCTACAGAAGCGAGGCAGCCCTACTAGCATCCAGAACGCGTTCTTATGTTGAAACCCGATGGCCTCATAGGATCGCTGCGTATACATACTACATTACGCTGCCCTTGTCCCACAGTAGGCAGAGACCACGGGACGCCATCTTACTCTATCTTGACACAACTTTTGAGCCTCGCATACATCAACTATCCTCTTCATATACAACTTCTTTTTAAAATTTTTCTTGTCATTGCAGATCCCAGCCTTTTATTATCACTGATCTGGTTAATGTAAGTCCTTCTGGGACATCCTATAACAACCTTTCCATCCACATCATAAATCTATTTGGTAATTCTTCTTACATCCATTCGCTCCACATGTCCAAACAACCTCAACATTCCTTCCTCACCATCGCTGCGTATAATACCAGATTACAAATGAAGCATTAATTCCATATCATGTTCATAACAAATATGACTCTAAAATAAATGACTCACCCATATTGCTTTACAAGGTGGAATATAAAGTATTCAACTTTGAGATGTTCACTGTTATGGACAAAACTCGTTGCTTCAGGTAGTTCTAAAATTGTCTTTCCCGAGAGCAATGGGAATAGAGCTTCAATCGATCCATCACCTACTATGTTATATCTGTAACAAATTGCCAGACAAGTATGTCTTAGCTTGATTTTTTCAGAATTTGATCCAAGGCCGTGTTCTCTTTCTACGTTCATTTTAACTCGTGTTATCTTCTAGCGATCGCAGTATCTATTAACTCTCTGTGTTATTACAGAATTGTCATCATTGGGTTCAATGTAACTCCCGAAAAGTCTAGGACATAAAACTCATCACCATGTCTTTTTGTGGATATCATAAAAAGCAACAAAGCAAGACTTATATTGCAGTGTTTACGAGGTATTTATCCCCAAGTCTCCTTTTTCGTTAAAGCGTATTGTTTCTACTACGGAATGACAATGGTAATATTACTCACCCGTTCAAGACAATAGCGTTCAAATCGCGTGTCAAGTAATCGTAGCTTTTAGGTACTTTTCTAATAAACATGTTCTTGGATACGGAGTCGAAACCAACAATGATGATGCTTATACCGTCTTTTTTATCCGGTCGAGATTTAGTTAGTGGCACACTCGAACGGAAACCAGCTCCTATACTTGTCCATGATGGATTCAGTTTGTTCATTTCGCCATTGCTAAGAATATTCAAGAGTAATAAGCGATAATATTAAATTGCAGACCTGAGGAGTCATGCTACTGCGTCCGTTACTATGAGACATGAAACTGACAAGTCTTAAGTGCTTGTAGTTTCACCATGTTCACATTGCTTCTTGGCGACAGGAATAGAACGACGTATGGACGAGCTCTTTCACAAGAAGCTGTACTGCTATTGTAAAAGTAGTAGGTAGTTAGTAGAACTTACTGGCTTCTGCCTGCGTCTTTGTTTTTAGCATAGAATAATAAATACAGTAGAAGTGCTACGCGAAACTTCACATACTTAAGCTAATTCATCAAATTTTTGACGATTCTTCTTTTTTGGAAAAAGGGTACCTCAGTATTGGTGCCATTTAAATTTGAAAAATTTTCCACTTCTGAGGGTGGCAAACTAGGGATGAATCCGGTTTCGTGCTTTTTCCGGTAATTGATTACAATAAAACTTGGCACATAAAAATTATTCCACGAACTTTTGAGGTCGGTTTTTATTTTATAAAAAAAGTTACTAACTATTTATGCTGAATAAAGAGTCAAGAGATGGTCAAGAGGATTTAGTTTTTAGGGCCACTTAGTTTGGATCCCACTATGCTATTAGCACGTAAATTTACTGTGTTACGTATTATTATGATTTAGTTCTAGTGGTCACAAAATCTTAAAGCGCTCTTGACTGGATATGAAATGATTTACCACTATGCAATACTCACTATACACTATCTCTTGTTGCACATGATATCTTTACATGATCGCTGGCATTGAGATTATACACCTCACTACCTTTGCGCAACACAGGTTCAGCATATGAATTTAGATAGTCATTGTGGTATATAACATCTTGATATAGACAATATACGCCCATGTCTATCAGTCGTTTGTCCTGTACTTGACACGTGGAGTTCTGAAATCAGACACGTTTTTAAATTTATCAGCAGCCGTTGCAATATCTCTTTATACCTTTAGCTCTTTATAGTGGTTGCCTTCTGTCCTTTGGACTTAATAGAAGATCTCTCCTTAGTAGAAGAACGTTGCGCTCGCTATCGTACGGGCCATACTTTGATATACTATCAGAAAGTTGGGGCTTTTCAGTACCAAAACAGTTTTGTTTTGCATGTGGAAGACTACTTCCACTATTAAATGCTCACAACAAAGGTGACACAATTATTAAATTGGCTTCGTCACTTTTTGTGTGAGAAACCCCATTATTTATAATAAAAATATGACCTAGACTTTCAACACCTTTTGTTGTGAATAAGCAAGCTGCATCCGCATCCGTAGATAATCCGCATAAACTAAAGTATTCGCATCAGATGCGGACATTCGGTTCGTGACAAGGTCTAAAAGGGCGGGGATGACGGCACGCTGGAAGAGCCTTCCATTTGATAAAATTCCAGAATAAGTAAGCTTAGGCAGATTATTGATTTTATGCAGGTTGACTTATTTGTTAATAAATGTCACAAAATCATTAAAGAAGCTTTTTCTGTCTCTGTCTTTTTTCACAATGGTTTTTAATAGATAAAAATCGACAGACGCTTATGTGGATCAGCATCTGTCGATATTGAGTTAAAAAAATCAGCGATGCGGACGCATCCCTGATGTGTAAAGAACTTGTATCAGCAACAACCCTGGTCCGTATATGGCGCGCGGCGGGCGTGCAGTCACACAAGCCGTGCTCTGCGTATTATGCTTATTCATGCTCATTTAAGTGAAATACTTGAATATTAACTTACATAACATTTAATCCAATCTATACCATTGTTATCGCAGTTCAATTTTTCGACGGGTTCATCAAACTGCGTTACTTCTATAGAAAATGGATCAAGTCGCGGTATATCACATCCTTGGCCCTTTTCCTGTTTAAGAGATGCTTCTAACTTTCTACTTATGTATCTGAAATTTTATTTTTAAACATTCAATAAGTTTGCTTGCTTCTCTAATAAGATTCCGGTTGTTATTCAGAATTTGCCGTTCACGAGATTTGAAACTATAGTGAAATAAACACTTTTACTAAAGGTTATTAAACAGCTTCTGCGCACTTGGATGACAAAAATCAGTGGTTCTTTGCTATGTGTATTTGAAAGGAAAGTTTTGTAAATGGTAATTGTGTACAATTGTATATATATATTTACAAAGAACAATCCCTAGAGTTTTATGCTCAATCTTCTCATAGGATTCTGCCTTACGAATGACCAGTAGGTTCAATTTCAAGTGTAATTTGCTTAGAAATCAAGATTATTTATGTTGGAATTTCAGTGCACGTATCTCAGACATGCAGCCGTATAAATACATATTTGGGATTAGGAAGAAAATGTCAATTACCAAATTTTTTGTGTAAAACTATCTCAATTGTCGTTGGATAGACTAAGGTACATCTTACATAAATAATCCGATGTTCTACCAAGAAAAAAACATTCATAAACAACGTTTATTATAATATGAATCATAATTAAGTAGATGTCCAAATGTAAACAAAGAAATGCCTTTGTCAAAGTGTGAATGCAGGTGTGCTAAATAAAGGATCCAACCGGATCGAACGATTTTTTCTAAGGCTCAACTCGCAATGGCACAGGGTCGAAGTGTCGTGACGTGTCATGTTTTTCGCCTGTAGCATATTCATCTATATTTTCCCATTATTACGGTAGAAATTTGTGTTATGCAAATATGGAATCGCGCGTCGACGCATGGTTAAAGTCGTGTGGTTTTGCGCGTGAAAAACAAGACGCGACTCGACGCTTCGTCAGTGTGAGTTGAGCCTAAGTGTTCGACCTTTGTTTTAATAATTATGAAAGCATACTTTTTTGCAAAATCACGTCCTAAGTATTCACGTTCATACTCTGACTGACTGTGTTTTATATATAAAACAACTGTTGCCATAGATATCAAACTGATCAAAATTAAAACCCTCTGTTGCACCGAGCGATGGTACCGCCGTCGCTGATACGGTGCAGTGTACTGAAAAATGAAGAGATAATCGCTTAGGCTTAGGTTTTAGACAATTACAGTAGACAATCCTTCCAGCTAGTAAGCTGGAAGGATTGTCTACTGTAATTGTCTACTACTTTTGTATGGAAGATATTTTATGAAATTTGACCAACTTCTGCTGTCACGATTTTTTTCTAAATATGTAGATTTACCGATGTGCAATCGCGCTATCAATTTGAAAGGTTTAAACCAAAGCTAAGCTACAACTAAACCAAACTTATATCGCATACATGACGCACGTTAAAAGACGTACATTGACTGCGTAAAAAACCGATAAAATTTCCGGAATCGAAAATTTAAAACGCACTGAAATGTCAATATCTACAAATCCAAGCCTATAAAAGGAGATGAAGCAGGGCAGGGTGCTGCGGTGCGTTGGTGAGTTACATTACGTTGCGACCAGGTTTGTACCGAATATACGCATCCGCGGATAATCTGCATAAAATAAAATATCCGCATCTGCTTCAGTCTCCGCATTGATCGATGCTGATCATCATTGCGGATATTTGCGTGGTGACATTACCTAAAGGGCTGGGAGTTAAAGAGTCTAAGAAATTTTCACGATTTTTTTAAAATAGATGTTAAGTTTAGATAAAAAATCCTGGATCACCAACAACCCTGGTTGCGACACCGCATTAAGGACTATTCACATTAGACCGTGCCGGGCGTGAGCCGAGACTCGCACGAGGTTCGGATTGGAAATGCTGCGTACATTTTATGAAGTGATTCGCATTACAACGTACCGCGTCAGTGGCACGGACGAGTTCTCCAGAGTTCTCCAGTGCGCCGTACGCGCCCTATCCGAGTGTGCGACTTTAGTGGCTACGTTCTTCTTAAAAAAATGGATGATGAAAAATTAATTGAGCGCGTAAGAAATTACCCAGTGCTTTATAATATGATATAATACTACGTTTGTGTTCGAGCGTAAACCGCGTCCTACTAACCGACTCGGTGTAATTTAAGATTGTGCGGCACGAACGAGTCTCGGATGCCTCGGACACGGCTCGCGCCCGGCACGGTCTAATGTGAATATGCAGCCAGTCTGAGGCTCGGATGACTCGGACACGGCTCGCGCCCGGCACGGTCTAATGTGAATCATCCTTTACTCGGGTGGCACTCGGTGCGTTTAATGAAATCATAGCGTTGCAACGCACCGGCAGCACCAAAAGGACATTCTGCGAAAGGGACATTTTGCTTTATTGACATTTTGCGAAAGGGACATTTTGCGTTAGGGGCATTCTGCGAAAGGGGGATTCTGCGACTGAAAGCCACAGCATAGTTCTTACTTGTTGTCCGGCACTAGTGCTTTGACATCTGTGGACTGAATTATAGAAGTCTTAGAATAATTCGCTGTACAGCCGCAACTTACGGTTTTACGCCGACATGTAGAAAAAAATCCAATCTCAGAAAGTAATAAGCGAGACATCGATAATGTTTATCTAGGCTTCAGTATAAATATAAAATTATTTTTGTTACGTAACAATATTTCAAAATAAAAACCAGAGAGTATGGGGCGAAAAGAGAGCCAGCTCGCGTGAGCACGAGGACACTAGCGCTCCATACGCATTTTTTGATGTACTAACTCTTATGGGGTGTGTGTCCATGTTGTTGAAAACAAAACTCTTTAGAAAAATATTGGTTTTATCTTAGACGATGGAAATTTTTTCCATTTTTCCCGTCGAAATCATAGAGGATGGAAAAGTGTAAGGTCGAAATGCGTAAGGAAATGCATCGTTATATATGTCAATATAACATGTCATTTGGTTTCGTAGTCTAAGAGTTTAACGTATTAACAAAAGTTTATAATTATGTATTCTAACGGATTTCTAGTCTTAGTATTTATGATAGTGTTTTTTACTGTTATTATAACCAACTTGGCAATTCATTACAGGAATGACAGAATATTCTAGTTTGTCAGTGCTCAGATTTTTGGGTTAAAATTGTAGAATACAATAAAGGAAGATACAAGAGACTTAGTAAGTAAGTAGATTAAGTCGAACCTCTTTTTTTTATTAAAAAAATGCGCATTTTCTCCATCTCACCTGATGGAAAGTGATGATGAGGTAGGAACTATTTCTGTCGCCATGCAGAAATGTAAGCATTACTGCGTTTTTGAAGGGAAGGGGCTGCAGAAATGGGTAAGGGGGCAATATTATCCTGAACGAACAATATTATACTAAAATTCTTTAAGATCATACGTAGTGAACATAAGTTATTTCTCCTGGTGTTGTTTAGGGTTGGTCGACTATCTGTTTCTCCCCTTCATCGCCTATTCACTGTAATATAAAAAATATATTATATATTTTTTTCAGATTGCGGCTGAACGATGGAACATGGCAGGCACGATCTGTTATCGGTCAGCATGTTACCACTTACGGCTCTTGTTTTTTTTGTATTTAGGAACTCGAGAAGAAAGATTACTTAACGAGTTTCTTCTTGTTCTTCAAGTCTTCCTCTCCATTATTGAAAGTCGGCAGTCAGTTTTCTATTTCTTTCTTTGTCCAGAGCTAGCTTGAACAGTTGTTTCACGGTCTTGATCCACCTCCTGATGTTACGAAGCCATGACATTTTCCTTCTTCCAATCTTCCGCTGGCCGGCTAATTTGCTCGTCATTATAATGTGATATCTATCACATCGCAGTACAAGACCCAAATAGCCAACCTTCTGCTGCTTGACAGTGCGTACCAACTGCACCTTTTTCGCCATACGTTTAAGTATCTCGATATTCGTGAGTTTGTCCATCCAACTGATGCGGAGCATTCTACGATAGCACCAAGCCTGAGCGAAGCGAGGGTTTTAAGGCACGAGACGGAAAACAACTTTGCTGCCGAGCGAAACACACAACTTTTCACCTCACTATAACGAGGAAAATGGTATATGAAAGAAAAACAGTTGAATGTTTTATTGGTACGTTTTTTTCATCACCAAAGTATGACCACAGTTCGTCGTCAAGTTCAAATTTCAAAAACCTTTTCCTCGCTAGGGTGGAACACATCGCTTTTGCGCGCAAATTTCTAATGAGAAAGAAAGCCTTGCCAAGCTAGTGAGGTGAAAAAGTTTTTGCTTATGATGTTAGTAATGTAATTCTATAAGGTTGTTTGTATTTCACCAGTAACCCAATATATACTTTGGTAGTTGCTCATGTTTGATGTGTTCGTAGATTTTACCATACCCTTAAGTTATGCTAATTATGAGTTAGTAATTTTGTATGCAAAAGTAAATAAAACAATAAAAATCACTACAGCGTCTTTAATTATTTACGACTAGACAAATTATAAGCACTCGTAATAACTATCTTAAAATTACAATTTATCTTTTTCCATCAGATCATGTAGAATGTTCTCGAATAATTTGGTAATAAATCACACCCTTCATGGAAGAATGGAGTTACGTCAAACTTATTCATTGCTCCATTAGATACGGAAAAATATAACCCACATCCTCTCCAATTCTTGTAAGTCTATCTACAATATTAGTCGATAGAGTTTGACGTAACTCCAGTTATGCCGTTCTACTATGAGGGGTGCGACTGGGAACTTTATTTATACATATATCAACTCTATTGGTTGGATTCGGCCTGTGACATACTCAGCTACATTTATTTTTTGTTAAATTACTCAACTAGTTCGTTATCCGCTCACGCGATACATGCAGCCGTAGACGCATACCACACCTAGAGGTGCCGGTGATGATTTTATACCGATTTATCGGATATCGATGTTATAACAGGTAAAAGAGCTAATATTAATTGCTATTTCGGTAACTACTCTAGCAAACCATAAAGTTTTTAATGCCTGGGTCTGTCATTTAAAAAAATAAACAACTTCAAAAATACGTCACGACAATAGTGTGTGTTATTGTTTGGGCTGGTGATTTCGGTGTTTACTTATTGAAAACATACCGTAAGTAGCGTTTTTTACCCTGAATATAAATGTTTATAAACTATACTTTAAGGAGTAATTTCATGGTAAACGTTAGAACCACTCAAACGGAATATTATCATATTTATCCAAGTACACCAAAAATTTCATTAGTGCTTTTTAAGTGCAGGATTGGTCGTGTATTACTGCATTTTATTTGAGATGTTTTTGTTGGTAGTACGGAGGGTATTTATTTAGCAATGTAGAACAATAATTTTTATTTATAAAAACTTGTATTTAAACTGAATCCTTTTCTATTTTGCGAAACCAAATAGCCGCCATTTTGCGGTAGGAGGAGCGCATCGCGTGAGCGGCTGCTGATTAATTTTATAATTGTTAATTTAGTAGTAGAGTTCTTCTTAAAAGAATTCGTCCAGGGAAGTTCTGCCACCTAACCCATTTCTGCCGCCAAGCAGTAATGAGTCTCCACTGATATTATATTGCAATTATGACAATATTTGTTATTCTGCTAAAGTCTCGTTGCAATGGCAGTTGGGTCTTAATAGAGTGGCGGTGGAATGGCAGTGATTTTTTTTTAATATCTAGTGACGGGACGAACAAGTTGTGTGCCTGATGGTAAGCTACACGCCTGTCCGTAACAGTTGCAGCGCCACTCAGAGCTTTAAGTCGCAAAGATCTGAGGGGCACTGGCACTGCGCCCGTCACCCTGAGACATACGTTGACAAGTCCCATTTGCGTGTAATTTCACCATTCAATCACTCACGATCGATGACGCCTTGCTTATAGATGTGTGAAGTGTTTTGTATTACACTGAAAGCATTGACTTACAATTATATGGACGTCGGGTCCGCGCTAAAAAGTGTCCGAACTTATAGGGCGTTAAAATCGTATACAGAGCGTCATTCACGCTTTAGTCTTCGTTTGTTCGACTGACAGCGAAGCAAGCAAAATTAGACAGTACTGCGATGACATTACAATTTAAATTCAACGTTTTAGCTTTTTCATATTCCTTTACATGTCACTACGTTTAAATAGGTTGACTTGGGATATTTTTTTCGTGGTTTTTGTATTAGACCCGTCGTCCATTTATTTGTAAGTCAATGACTGAAAGTATAAAACACACAACTATCTATAATTCAAACGAAATTTATTCATATAAATATGTGTGTCCATGGCACCCGCGACACAGGGTTTCCCTAGTGCTATGTTGAGTGTGTGCGTTATTATTATTATTAATGCAAAATGTAATTTAGCTTCTCAACAATAAGGTAGATTTCTTTGAAAGGCAGTTATCAGCTGATTGACGCCGGGACCCGTAACATAAACTTTGGAAATAGCAATGCGATGTAGAACGTCTCATCTAATAAAGTGAATATTTCTTCTCACGAGAATCTGCTTTATCTGGTGGTCGTGTTTATGCAATTTGTAGATTTTACACGCAATTAATATAATAGTCCAAATAAGATGACCTCGGTGGTCCAACGGTTTGCACTGTCGCCACTTCATGAGAAGGTTCCGGGTTCGGTTCTCGGTAGAATCAATTTGGGAAATGAACTTGTCTAAAGTGTTTTTGGCCTAGATTTTTTTTGCATTCCCGGTAGAACCAATATTGAAATGAATTTTTTTTAAAGTGGTTTTTGCCTAGGTTCTGAGTAAACTTGATCAACTAAATAATGAATATAGCCTGGTCACAAAGGCATTTGCATTGTTTCGACTTTTGAATGAATTTATGAATCTTCTTATTGGTGGCCTTAGTTTGGCGCACAGATCCAAGGAATTATTCTTTGTGTTTGATCTTAGTGGGAATCGTAACAAACTAGTGGTGTAATTTCACAAAAAACCGGTGTCAACTAGATTCTGAGTACTCTTCTATACGACATAGCTAATGTGAAAACTCCGCAACAAGGTCTGTAACCATCCCATACTATTGTGTCAAACAAATATCACTGTTACTAGTTAATCTAATCAATTTATCAAAAGCACAAAAAATAGGTTCATCATTTTTAGTAAATGTCAAAGCTTTTACATAAACAATGGAAGACACCTTATCGAACACGTATTTATACTTATTGTATACATATACACCTTCTTTTGTACTTATATAAGGTTTGAAATAACCATCTGCAGCCAACACGTCAACTCTATATTTCTCATGAGAATTGATAGCTTTAGTACCCATTTTTACACGAAACAGAGTCTTACCTTGTGTAAAAAAGATATTATTGTCATCATCTAGCATTATATTTTCAGCTTCTACGCCTTGCAATTCATATATGGGGTTTATGTAATTATTTTCGTAAATATAAGCTTGTTTTCTTTTATTAGTATAGAATAGGGCGTTTTTAAAAAACATGCTGTGAATGCTATCTCTTATAGGTAAGATTTCAGGTGTTTTTTTATCATTAATTCTGTATATTCCATCTGAACCGCCAACATATACCCTGTTGTAATCTTTGTCTATGGCTATAGTAGTAGCGTTTCTTATACCTTCGATTATACCTGATTCTTTATTGTCTATATTTAAGTATCCTAGGGCTTTGGTTGGCCATTTAGCTATCTGATCAATAATGAAATATAAGGTATTGTCGTTAGGGTTCAGTTTTAGATCTTGAACGTTATTTAAACCTTCTTTGAGAAGTTCCAATTTATAATAACGGTTTCCGAAATAGACTTGACTGCAGTTCTGGGCGTTCACTGCTATGAAGAGTGAGGTGATGATGAGTAACTTCATTTTTGGTGCCTGAAAAAGATAAATAAAAAATGTTTAGTAATTTCTAGACAAACGCATTTTAACCCCTTAACTTTCTAGTTTGAAATACAGTTTATTTTTTATATTGAAATACCAAGTCTTTATTCTCGAACTCGATACCGTTCTTCCGAACTAGGGAATGCAATCCCGCTAGATAATTTCAGTCCCAGTATTTTTTTTTTTTTTTTTTTTATACATGACAGGCAAATGACTCCACTCCATTTGCGGGATTAACAGTTTCTGACCCCACGGGATCATGGTATTTGCTGGATCCCGCAGAATGCTGAAAGACTTCGAGAAAAAGTTTGCAGAGGGCTAAATTCGGAATAGGGAATGCAATACCGGGATACCGGGGTCTTGAAATACCGAGATCCCGCATCAATTTTGCGGGATTGATCTGGCTCGTAAACTGAGCGGGATCCCGCGGTATTTGCGGGATAACGCATAAGCAAAATAAATGTGTTGATCGCGTGTCGTCATGTAAAAAATTCACCGTGAGCAATAGGCTCTTATATCTATGTATATAAAGACTTTGCAAGAGTTGCTGTTGTGTGGAAGTACTGTTTGAAGGTGGAGAATTCACAGATAGCGAAATGTAGCTTAAATTCAATTCAGCTAAAATTCAAAGAAAGGAAGGATTAAGTTCTTTATTGATGTCAATTGCAATCATAATAAGGTGAATTTAAGTATTATTTTGGAAATGTAGCTGCGCAAAAACGATACAATTTTATCGATATATTTATAAACGATAACATAGTTTAACTAGGTAGCCAGCAGCGGAAAAGGCTCGCTGTGGTTCCACACTGGTAGGAATAACCGTCATTAGTGCGTTATAGGCAAACTGAAAATATGAAACTTTTAATCAGCATATCGCACTGCTATTACAATAGTGTTGTAACTCAAAATATGTGAAATTTAATATTATATCATTACTGAACGTAAAATTTGATTCTCTACATGTCAAAAAAACCGTTTTTAGAATATTGTAAGAAACAATCAAAAGATATCTACTTAACTCATAAAGAGACACACTTTATGTGAGCTAGTTCGGGCTATAATAATCCTAATTAAAAAACATAAAATTACTTTTTCAATTTTATTTTAAAAATACATTTGAGAAATTGTTTATGTGTCTATAATAAACTATAACGTATAAATGTTAATAATTTTTTTGCGGGAAATGAGTAATTCGTTTTTCATCAATTCTGAAAAAGTCCTCTTTTTGAGTTAATACACTATTGTATTAACAGTGCGATAT